ATTTTATTTTATTTTAAGGTTGTCTGGTTGTCTTAAGTAAGGATGTCAACGGCAGCGGGCACGCACGCATATATATATATATATAGGTCTCTCTCGTTGTAACATCAATTCTAATTTTTAATTTTAAATTAAGATATTTTTATATAGAAAGATATTATTTAGTACTATAATATTTATATTTATTTTAATGATTTATTTTTCTTTTAAAATTAAAATATTAAGTCAATAAATAAAAGTATTTTTTGAAATGAGAAATTTATAAAAGAAGTCATATGAAAGAGAGATTACCAAGTTTTATCATAAAATTTGTGTCGAAGATTTTCAAATTTTATTCGTCATAAAATTTGTGAGGAGGATTTTAAGTTTTTTCTTCGTAAAATTTTTGAGAAATTTTTTTTAAGTTTCATCCATAAATCTTGTGAAGTAGATTTTTTAAGATATTTATGTAATATATTTTGAGATAATTAAGGGTGTATTTGGTTTCATAAAATATTTTTTTATTTTTTTATTTTTATTTTTAATTTTCATTTTTAGAAAATAATTTTTATTTTCTAATTTTAAATATTTAGAAAACATGTTTGGTTTCACTATTTTCAATAAAAGTTCATAAAATATTTTTTAGTATAAAATTTATCAAAATTACTCTCTCTATATATATATATAAATTAAAATAATATTTTATTTTGTAAATACTTCACTCTTTCTCCTCTATCTTATATTTTTTCTCATTTTAATACTTCTCTCTCATAATAGGTGGATTTTACTATATGAAAACATGTAAATGTCATTTATGTTTTTTTTAATCAAATGAATAATTTATTATCTAACAAATAGTAATTATTTATCAAAATGAAATATATATATATATATATATATATATACATATATATATAATTGACACTACTTATCTTAAAATATAATCAAAATTTAATCACACTAAACATTAATCACACTAAACACTAATCATATTTAATAAATAATATTTAATTAAAATAATTAAATAATTAAACATCATATGTAATTAAAATTCTATAGAATAATTAAATCAGATAAATCTTAGAATATTAATTAATATATAATACATATGGAAGCACCAAACAAAACTTATCTGTACACAAAATAAAATATAAAATAAGTTAGTTGAATTGCATGTATAAAAAAAAATAAGTCTATTAAATTATGTGTACCAGACTACAAACTTAGAAGCAAGTTTGTAAATTTTTTAATAATTACCATCACATATCGTGTTTTCAAAAGTGTAGAAAATAATGACAATAACAATTTTTTTCATTTTCAATTTTGGGCTTTTATCGAAAATATTTTCAAAGAAACCATTTTATAAAATTAAAAGTAAACAACACATTTTCGTGCTTATTTTCTATTTTCATTTTTAAAAAATGGTGAAACCAATTTGACCCTAATATTTTTGTGGACATAGGTATCAAAGATTGAACCGCATTAAATAAAATTTATATGATTTTTAATTTCTTTATGGCATTGATTTATTTGTGTTTTCTCATCGTTATGCATGAAAGAAAAAAATATTACTTCTAACATTTCTTACTACTCGTTCCATCGAATAAAATTAGACTAAATTATATTTTTATTCGTTTATCTTATTTTTTATATTCATTTTAGCCATTTATCTAATGTTCATTTTGGTTCTTTAACTTTTATATTTAGATCAATTTATTCCTTTTAAACAATAATTTTCAATTTTATGACACAACTTGAATCTGTTTTATATAAAACTATAAAATTCAATTAATGTTTGAATCCATAAGAGTTATAACTTAATGAAAATTGTGTGAAAAATATATCTCATAAATAACTAAAAAATAGTATGAAATTATAGTTTTTTATTTTTAATTACATTTTGGAGTTATTTTTATGCATTTTTTTTACCATATCAATACGTTTTATTGGAATTTGAGTTGTATTCAACTATTTTCATATAAGTAAATCTAATAGGATGAATTTTAAGTTTTGAATCAGTTAAAAATATAATTTAAAATCATGTCTCAAAATTAAAAAAAATATTATTTCAAATTGACCAAATTTAAAAAATAAAGGATCATAATGAGCATTTTTAAAAAAATAATGGATTAAAATGAATATAAAAAATAAGATAAATGACCAAAAGTATAATTTAGTCAATAAATATATGTTTCGTATTCGCGTGGATATCTTTTAAATTGATACTCACAATTTTTTCAATATTAGTAAATATTTGTGAATATTTACTAAAAGAAAAAAATAAAAATATTATACACAATTTTATTTATTTTAACAATAACTTTTACCATTATTTTGACAATGTTTTTTTTATTCTAACAAGTTATTTAAAAATAATAATTTAAAATCAAATTTAAATTATTCAAATATCATATACAATTTTATTAATCAAGTTACTTTGACTTAAAAACTAAATTTAAATGTTAAAATACTTTAATACCATAAGTTTAAACAAGTTAAGCCAATAAACTAATATAAATCAATTTCACAAATTAAAAATAAAAGTTAAAAATATAATATTTAAATCACAAACGTCCAAAAAAAAGTCAATAAACTAAACTGTAAGTCAATAAAATTCCACTTTAGCACATTTATATTTTTAAACATTTTTTCAAAATAATTTAACTATAATAAATATTTAATAGGTACCCCAAGTCTAATATGGAGATATTTATCCTTATCTCTATTATTAACGGATAGTGACATATTTATTTAACTTATCTACATATATTTATTTAAGTATTCATTTACTATTTGTCACAAATTTTACCCATAATACGATTTTTTTTTTTTGTTTTTTTTTTTCCATCCTTAATCTCAAGTAATTTGAGGTAATGACTCCTCGGTTCATCAGAAGAGGAAGATGACATGGGTTGGGATTAGTGTCAGCAGAGTTAGCAACATAATGGTTGCAAGTGCTTTTCACGATAAGGGAGATTTGTTGCAGTGATTTTCATCCATGGCATTTGATCTCACTTAAGAACTTATTCTTGCAGTATGTGGCCACAATAAATGTGGTTGGTTCCATGATTTCAACAGAACATGCACCATGTTGGGAATTATTCCTTCCATGTAATATTTTGTTGCTTTTCAAATAAATCGAATGAAATATAATTGTGTGATCCAGCGATTATTATTCTTTTTAATTATTATATTTTATCAATAAAATATTTATATAGTTTAAGTCTTACAAACACATAGATATATACACAGACATATATTAATTAAACTTTATAAATTAAATTCAACAAGGCTTTAAAAAATTCGATATTTACATTTTTTTTGAAAAAACCAACAAAACTCTGATATAATTCACGTACTTAGTAATTTAGTTTGTAGGTAGAGATTTGAATTTGGATTAAACATTTTTTCAGGTTCAACGATCCTAGTCAGACTCAAGATTGATTTAAAAATTTGATTAATCAAATAACTAATTAGGTAATGCTCTAAATAATATTCTATAAAGCTTGTAATCCGTTTTCAAATTTTCTTAGTTTTAACTTTTAATTAAGGTGATATAAATATAGTTTTGTAATAATTTATACGTCTGTTTAATATTTAAATAAGTGTTTTTAGTTTTTTTCTAAAAATTATTTTAGATTAAATTAAAATAGTAAGAAAGTAAAATTGATTTTTTTATAAAAAAAATCTATATATTTTTTTTATTGATTTTATATTGCGTTGACCAATTGTTACCATTTCTAACATGAATTGACCTTTTTATTTATTTATTAGTATTGATTTTAGATTGCGTTGACCAATTTATTTATTTTTATTGATTTTTTATTTTTCTTAAACTAAATATTCTGATTTTCTCACCCATTTCTACTGTTCTACTTTTTTTGTTCTTGTTTATTTTGACCGTGTTAAACAGAAGGAAAGTGTTAGTATTTTTGTTAGATGTTACGAAAACAGAAGAGGAAAAAATAATTACAAGAGGTGTTTGAATGCAACATAATGGGTATTATGACATTTTATGAGGAGTGGCTTAGTTTGCGTGAGCTTATTGGTTAGTTTGTGTACGTTGTTGTACGGAGGAAGTTGACGTGTTTCTAACATTGTACCCTTTCCTCGATTTTTAACTATGCTTCTATGCTCATGCTCAGTGCTGTGTCCCCACATTTCCTGCACCACCACCCCACTATATGTCTTTTCTCCTTTCTCATTTCCTAATTCCTAGTGGCTCATGCTACTACAACCAGAATTATCATTATTATTTGACATAGTTGGAGTATTATCTCCCAGAATTACCACCACGTAAAAGTAGTAAGAAGAAGGTTAGTATCGACATATTTTTAGGATTGATTTTTGGTTTTACTATTGTAATATTATTGAAAGATTTCTGATAATGAAACTCATTTTTATTTTTAATATAACTTTTGTGAGTCTCTTAATATTTGATGAGATTTAAAAATTTTAACTTAAATTCTTAATTCATTTTGTGTAAATTCTACAATGGGCTTAACATTTTTTTTAGGGATTCCTCATTTTGAGGCAAAAACTTGGTTTTCATTGGTTTTTATAGGGTTTTGTTTAAGGATTAATTCATCAAAGTATTGAAATTTATCTAGAGATGGTTCTCTTCCAATAAATATTACCCCATACATATGTTTATGGAAATCCTATTGTTAAAACATTTGTTTAATGGATTTATCGAATGAGAATTTATTATCGAGCTTAATTATTCACTTAATTATGTATATTCCTTTTTCTTGTCATGAGAAGTTTATGCATAGAAAGTAGAAAAAAGATGAGCGAGCAGCGAAGCAATTGGAAGCTTGAGATGATTTGGCAAGGATAATATATTTTTTCTTTTATCAAAAGGTTCCATTTCGACTACTCTTCTCAATCGTCCTTTATATTATTATATATGGACATTTTTTTGCCATGTCCTTATATAGAAAACTTGCAGCATCATTTTCATATATTTTGCTTTATTGTGGAAATTGCTTTTTTGGGGCAGTTGGCATCTTGTTTTACCAAAACAAGCAAGGGATGAGGTTTCAATTTTCCATAACCATTATATCTATATAAATCTTTTGTTTCTTAATATGGTGTGTGTGGATGAATAAGGAAAGCTAGTCTGTGCTTTCTCTCTTTGATAAAAGGATAGGTCAAATCCAACTCTTTCTTCAACATTTATCAATTATGTAGCATACCATTCCCCTTTTCTCTTTCTATTTGAGTGAGTGAGTGAGTGTGTGCGCTCTCTCTTCTGTGCTACTTTCTTTCTTTTGATTCTTCTTGTGCTCTAATTTTCTCTGTTTTCCTTTTCCTTTTCCTTTTCCTTTTCTAGGCTCTAGCCTATGTTATTCCTTGCTTCAAAAGCTCTACCTTCGATTTTGCCACTTTGGTGCAAATCTGCTTCCTTTTGGTGACTGAACATTTTTCCTTTGATTACCGAGAGAATTGCTTGTATTTGAAGCTGCTTTTCTTGCTGGTAAGTATCTACACCAATTAGGAAAAACAAAAAATATCCTTTTCCTTTTTGGGTGTTTAGATCCTTTTTGGATGAAACTTGAATTTAATTATTCATGCTTTGAAAAATTAGTTATCTTTCTTTTCATTGAAATCTGTACCTGTGTAAGGATTCAGGCTTTTGTCTCAGTTTTTGTGTTATCTTTCTGCTTTAGTAACCTCCATCTTACTATATATATTTCACATTTTTGGGGGTTTTAATGATGGTGATTCTAATCTGTTGCATTTTTCTATCTGCTATAGCTTTCTGTGTCTTCAAGTCTTACTTGGAAGGCTCAGATTTGCTGCAAATCTCTCCCTTTCCCCACCATCAGAAGCTTTAATTTCTTGGTGAGGACTCTCTTCTTAACCCCTTTACATGTAAAGTAATTTTCTAGTTTCTGATGATTGAGTCTGCAGAAAGAAGAAGAGATGGTGAGAGGAAAGACTCAGATGAAGCGTATAGAGAACGCCACAAGCAGGCAAGTAACTTTCTCTAAACGGAGAAATGGGTTGCTGAAGAAGGCCTTTGAGCTATCAGTTCTGTGTGATGCTGAAGTTGCTCTTATTATCTTCTCTCCAAGAGGGAAGCTTTATGAATTTGCTAACTCTAGGTACTGCTCACCATTCTCTTCCTTCAGCAACTTTCCCTTTTCTTGTTCATAAATTATTTGTGTAATTGCTTCTGCATCCAGTAATTTTAACATTCCATTTTCATATACCATGAGTTCTTTCAAGTGTGCACTATAGGTTTCAATTTCATGTACACCTATGCATAAGTAGTATGTACTTATACACCATATATCAAGTAGTTGTCATAAACACGAAAACTCAGTGGTGGATACTGGATAAAGGATCTAGTTTTATTTGTTATTATTGGTACCTCTTTTAGTACAATATAGGAGCTAGTAATTCAGTGTTTTAAACCACTAGTGTCGGTACAGTGATACAATAGAAAGTTAGGATAATGTTTACAAGGTTTTATGATCAAACTTTGGCGTCATCACAATATTCTTTTGAAGTGAAAGGGCTTTAATTAGTTGAAATTGGATAGTTTATGACATTAAAGGGCATTATTGATTATATATATATTCAGCAATGTGTTACATCTGCAATGAACCTAATCAATCCTATCCTTGTTTAGAGTTAACAAATTTTTACATTGATGGGTGGACTAATTAAGTGCCTGTGTAACTTCATGGCTTCTTCTATAAGGCACTGGTGTTTTTTCTATGTTATAGAATCATACCAAAGTGTAGGTTAGATATATCTTAGGGAGTAATCTTAACATAATTAAGCAGTACCCCACCTCCCCAACTAAACATTATGATGAAAGGGTGCAATGAATAAAGGAATCTTGCTCCCTCAGTAATGGGCAAAGAAAGAGCTTGTACATGTAGGTTAGTGATGTATCATATGTACTAAACTCTGACATGTACAACTGTTCATGAGATGGAGTGAGAGATACAATGAGCAAGTATTCATATAGCAGCACATAACGATGATCTGATTCCTCCTGTCCTATCTCCTGATCACCAAATATTTTATTCAGGATTAAGTAGGGTCGGACTCAATTTTTCAATCATCGAATAAAGTGAGTAAAATTACCTTAAAAGAGTAATATGGTGTTCCAAAATAAAAAAAAAGGACAATGTAAATCTATCTGCGAGGAGCTTGTGATGCTCCATGAAATAATGTGCAGTGTGATCACCACAGTTTTTAGTATAACAAGAGGTCACACACTAACCTTATTCCAAGGTTTATTATTATTATTATTATTATTATTATCGGGCTTATGTTAATTAGTATATTAAGTGTATTGATTAAAGAATCACTATAAGGATTTTTTTTTTTTTTGAAAATCAGGATGGATTGAGATGCATTTTTAAAATTAAATACTACAAAAACTTTTTTCATTTTTATTCCTTAAGCCTAGCAATAGCTAGTTATACCATAACTCCTACTTATATATGTATGAATATAATTCCAAATCCTCTGATAACATCTTCCGACTAATCCTACTTATTATTAGATGAAGGAAGTATAAAATGTATTTTATGTTTTCCAAACATTATATGCATTCTTTTTTCATTTAATTTTTCTTTAAAAATATTAAGAAGATTAGTAGAAGAATTAATATAGTATCTCTTTATATATATAAATATAGTTGAGACTGCTAAATATATGTTCAACATAAGATTTTGACGTACTACTAAACAATCAAATTCAACAGTAACTGAGAGTCACATGTGACGTTGGTGCAGCTTTCATTATAAAAGCTTTGAAGTGACAGTGTTTTGAGCATATAATTTGAATTGATATAGACAGAGGTAGATTTTCTATGTGGAATTCGCACTTGAGCTTCTCCCGCAAGAGCACTTGAAATTTGTGCTGTCTGTTTTGGAGTAATATAGTCTGTATGGTTCAAACATTTCTTAATAAACCTAAGTGTGTATGTTTAAAAAGTACAATGAAATGCTGCATAAAAGAATTGAATTGTCAGCAAACTCACTTTGGAGAAAGAGTTAACAAACAAAGGGAAATAACTTAAATATGAATGTATATTTGTTATGGTTGACCGTACTTAATATATATATATATATCATGTGGTTTTGTGAAATTTACATACTTTTGTCTCCCTTAACCCGTTTTCAAATGCTATGGTTAAACAAAATAAAAGAACTGACCGAAATACAAAATGATAAGAAGACATGCATATATTTAAGTGAATTTATCAATATATTACTTCTGTTCCTTCATACAGGGAAAATGAGAAATATCAATAGAAAATGACACTTCTCATGCCTTAGAAATTTTGACATCTTTCATTACTGTGAGAAAAAGGGACATGTTCATACCTTTTATAATGTTATTTGACCGCTATTTCTTTTTCTTGTAGTTACAAGTCTTCAATCACAAACTTTTAAATCATCATGGTGTTAGTATCTACTTGAAACAAAAGCTACTAATAACACCTTGATGTAATGTTTTTATTTTATCTGCTAATGTATCTTTTATGAATTTATATGATGAGTTTCATGATCATATATAACAGCTTGATGATTTATCTACACAATTCTGGATAATTTTACTTTTTGCTAGAAAATTGTTAATCCTAGCCTGCATCGGCCCCCTCTTTCATAATCTTAAATTGTAATCTTATTATACTTATAATTATCACTATTTCTATTAGAGTGTGTTTGAATATGAAATTTAAATGGAATATTTTATTTTATTTTTTAAAAATTTCAAATGTTTTAGAGTGAAATATTTTGTTTGATTAGAGTGAAATGTTTTATTTGGATGAAAAATTTATATAAAATTTAAAATCTAAATATTTGTAAAATTTCTTAAAATAATAAAATTTTAAATTCTTTCAAAAAATAAAAATTTTAAATTCTTCATATTTTTTTCTTATCTCATATATTTTATCTCTCTCCTATAACTTATATTTTTTTGTCTCTTTTTTTCATTCCTCATACTTTATTTTCTCTGTCCCTCCCTTCTCTCTCTCTTTCTCTCCTATTTCTCTTTTCTATTCATCTTTTTTTTTTTTTTTTTCTCTTTTCTCTTTGTTTTTCTCTTACCTCTCGCCTCTCTTTCAAAGTTGACTTAAAAAATATTAATAATTTTTTTAATTATTGAATATTTAAAAATATTTTTTAAATTATTAAATATTATCTAATAATTTAATGTTAACTTTTGAACTATTAAATATTTAAAAACTGACTAATATTTATTTTTATAAAATTTAATCTTAAAATTCTAATATATACACATATATTTAAAACTGATATCAATTTTATCTATGGTAGAAATCAAATTACCGTATCTAAACTAAGAATTTAAAATTTAAAATATTTGAATTAATTTATCTAAATAAAATATTTAAAGAAATTCAAATTTTAAAAATTTTAAACCCTAAACCCTAAAGAAATTCAAATTTTAAAAAATTTAAATTTCTTAAATTTATAAAAAATTTTCAACCAAATATACCATCAGTAACGAGTATACCTTAAACTCTTTAGGTGACATGTTGTCCTAGTGTGGTAAACATTTTTGGTTCTAGCTGATAGAATTTATTTATAACTATACTCTTTGCTGAGGTAAAACTCCTTACCACTTTGGGACTAATAATGAATATTTTATTATATACAAATAATTTTGGACATGAGCTACCCATATACTAATTATTAAGACAATCAAGGGTCGTGTGTTTTGTTGGGAGATCTCACCAGTTTGATTCAACAGATAATGATGTTATTTTGCTTTTATTTGCAATGTTTTCAGTAAACCAATGGCTTAATTAAAGCTTACACTCTCTTATTTTGCTAAGTTCCTTTAAAATTTTGACAAAAGAAAAATGTTGTATACATTAATATTATGACTTCGAACACATTTTTTTTTTGTTTTAAAATGTTGAAGTTTTGAATTTTATTTTCTGCTTCTGTCTTCTTTTTGCAGAATTGACAAAATTAACAAGTTAATAGGTTTCAAATTTCAGGTACTAAAATTAAAAGCATACATGATTTTTTTTTCCTGCAGTTTGCTCTTGTTTACTTAGTACTGGTAAATCAACGTCCTTTTCTACTCAACAAGTTGAAACGAGAGAATAATATTAATATAAACAAAATCAACTAAAATAAAAGGCCTTCTCCCCAATATCAAATGAAGACTAGGGTTTCTTTTAACTTATATAAGATAATAGCGGGGTTAAATAGATATTCATTTCTTGCTTTACTTTGCTGGATTTAAGAAATAGTAGTATTTAACTAATAATATAAATAATTTTCTCTTAAAACAATGATAAAACGGTTTTTAATGTACCGAGAGTCTAGCACTATATTCGAATTCAAGAAATGTATATTTTTATTACTTTATTTTTTTTATTTCTTTTTATCAGAGAATTGTAAAGAAAGTAATAAAATAAATTTTTGTTCACAATTTATTGTATAAATGTTTGAAAACAGAAGATAAAGTAAAAATAAAGTGACAACACTAAATGAAAACAAAAATGTGCTCTCAAATGAAAACCTTAATTTTTTCTTTCCTTTCCGTAAAGTGTTTAACAAAATGCAATAGTTCATCTTTAACATGCCTAATCCTTCCAAACACAACACTATCCTTAACTGCACTACTAAATTTCCGCCTGTGGCTCCATTCCAGCCAACATAATTTGTCAGTTGGAATTGTCCTTAATCCTCACCAAAGTGAACATCTTAAGTCTGAACCTCCTTTAATTTCCTAGTTTAGAGCAAAGATAGTAGCAAACTAAAAACACCTTGTCCTGGTATAGAAGGTAGAAAAAAAGGTTTACTATTGATGGTTATGGTTGGAAGCAAAAAACCCTGGTTCAGATACCCGGCCCTTTCGGCAATAGGTTTTAATGTTTTATAGTCTTGTAGCATGTTTGGGGGCTCATTTGACAAAGGTAAGAAGAGGCTATAGGAGTTCTGAACCTAAAATTAACTTTTAGGTATCTAGTGAAGGTTAGTTTTAGTGTGTGTATATACATATAATTTTTTGGGGGAAGCTCAATTAGGTTTGTTATGTCTATATATGTTGGATTTGAGTGCCCTTTATACTTAATTTAGTGAATACATTTCTACTTTGC